ATCATTAGATTGGACGGGCAGCACTGCTGAATCACCAGTGTTTGAGAATGCAACGCTTGTAAAAGAGCAAAAGGGTGAGATAATTTAGTTCTTCTGTAAACTTTATTTTATTTAGTTAACTGATGTTTTTAACCTCATAAAATGATAAAACAAAAATGACAAATTAGACTTTGTAAGTAGCTGCTGTATTTTAATTACTCGTAGTTTAAGTTTTGTTAAAATCTGAGGTGAAGAAGCAGAAACGGAAACTTCTAAAGAAGATATAATTCATATCTGCATCTGGAGAGCTGCATGTTTGTTTATATCTTGTCACCTAACAAATCCTCCCATACGTTTATATGGTTGGGCAGCAGATTATTTCTTAACGCTGTGTTGTTATTTTTAATATTACTTGAATAATAATTATATGTTTATTGTCAGACCAGACAGGCCAGCTTCCATCAGGAGTGCCCARTGAAGAAAAAGGCAAAGAACCGTCTCAGCAGAAAGGTGCTGGTAAGTTTGATGGCCCCCCACATTAACTTAAACATCCACCTCTTCACAGTCTCTTTGTAGCAGTTTGACAATCATTTCAAAATCAGAATATGATTTATTAAACAAGTATTTTTACGTACAACTATTTAAAACAAACGCCAGATTTAAAACTAGTATTTAAAACAAAAATTACACTGTAATGGCTGCAGCTARCCATGCACCGCTAAATGCAATAATTAAGTCCAGAAATAAAAATGCACAAAGCCATAAGGACTTGTAAAATTCATGTAAGCATACATTAACCAAATGGTGAAAATGACATAATTCACTGTAATGAAATTTAGAAAAACCACTAGCATTCCCTATTAGCACAGCTGTTAGCATAGCCATGTTTRTACTCTTGACAATTTAAAGGAACAGTGTGTAGAATTTTGTCAAGTCTTTTAGCCGACATTGAGATAATCACTAATGACAATAATAAAAAAACATGTCTAATCATTGCAGACAAAGACCTTGTTTTATTATTTTTAACTTACAAAAAGCTGTTTATATCTCCATGGTCACGGGTCGCCACTACAGGCAGCCAAATATTTGATCAATAAAACAAAAAAACTCTTTAATGTATTTAAAAAAAAACATGTCAACATAAACCTAAGTATACGTACTTTTCTGAAATCCCAACCCCAGTAATTCAATTTTTATTCCTCCCACAGTAATTATTAACCCCAAAACATAGTTATCACACAAAAGTCTTTGGATCATCCTGAACACAAACAGGATTGTCTGTTTTGATGTGTCGAAGGGTCAGAGGTCGTGGTGGGGCTCTGTGACTTTTTGTAGATCTTGGTTTAGTGCGAGGAGCTGGAAGAGGAGGGTTACGTGGATTTGGACATGGTGTTTGTTTGATCTTAACCTCGCCAGGTTCTTCCATGTTGTTAGTAAAATCCAGGAGGGGGCATTCCACTTGCTGTCCTGTCGGGGTCTCAGAGTCCAAGAGATCCTCTGTTTGTGATGCTGATGAATCCAGTTGTTCTTCTGGTTCTGCAGCTTGAAGCAACTCCTCTCTCTCTGGTTCTGATTCTGAAGCAGTCCTCTTATCTGGCACGCTGTGTTCCACTGATATCTCAGTTTTCTCCAGCTGTCCTTCAGACGTCAGCTGTTGTGGTTTTTCCTGTTTGTTTCCAGCCAGAACTTTGTTCAGGAAATACTTCATGTTTGAAGCCAGAAGTTGTGCTCCAGTTCACCAGTAGTGTGGAGAGACAGTGACAGAGAGAAGCAGAGGCACAGAGACAGGCCAGGTTGTTCTCTGTGTTTCCTGTTGTTGCAATAAATCATCTCACGGAGTACCTTCATTCTTGGACCACGTATTTCTGTCTTTGTTAAATAAATATCACCATAACAGCAGGATTAAAGTACTTTTTTCCCTGAAAAAGAAGTCTACAAGCCTACACTACTTCCTCACTTGCTGAGAACGGTATCAAATAAGAGCCCCTTACTACAGTATCTTCATCTAACTGTATGTCGGGAACGGAGAGCCGTTAGCCAGCTGCCATCTTGTTCGCCTGTTCACGTGACTCCCACTCGGAACTAACTTTTGAATTAGCGCTGCCCACCACTGCTAACTACATTGTATTGTTACTGTCAAACCTCTTTATTTAGAAAAAAACCTGTAATATCTGAGCTTCCACAAGACTTTTTTTAATTAATTGTGAACAGTAATAGAGTATTTTTAATTTAGCTGGAAAACAGCTGTTTTAAGCACCTTTTATGTTTATTTTAAAACCCTTATCTTGGTATTATTTGAAGGGATGATGGGTTCAAATGCAGAAAATCAACGTTTATGTCTGTTTGATTGATTGACTGCTCAGCCATGTGGTTTTTATGTTGATCTACCACACAAATGTTGGCGACTCTGTTCTCTCACTGCAGGTTCAGACAAAAGGCTGTGGTGGATTCTGCTACCCACCCTCCTGGCTGTGGGTGCGATCGCCATCGTCTTCAAATTCAAAAGCAAGAAAGTCCACGATCACACAGGTATCCTCACAGATAGAACACAAAATTATTATTTTTTATAGTTTACAGGTGCAATTAATGATCACTTGTGATAAAAACTACACTTTAATGTCTCCTTTTGTGTTTAACAGAAACCATCGACACTGGAACTGAGAAGTAAGTTGGTCTTAAAATGTTTGACTCGTGATCAACGTGGAGCAGATAATCACTTCTCCCTTCACCTCCACAGCGCCTCTTTCCAGAGCCGGCCCGAGAGCACCAAAGATGGAGTCATGCTCCTGGGGGTGAAGTCATCAGGCGGAGAAGAGAACGGTGAGCGTCCTTTTCGTGTGTTTCCTGTGACAGTTCCTCTGGTCTGTGGCCGTTTCTGCAAACACAATCTGGCACTTGTTTCAGGGCTGAAGGGCCTTCGCTGGGCAACAGAAGGTGTTTCCTGTGATTTTTCTACCCCCGCCCTAAAACAAGCAGCCGGGACTGAAAGATAGGGGGCTTCCTAACATAAACACAGATTATTTTGGCCGGGAGCTATTGTGTGGCCTGTAAATGTCACCGCGGCTCACGCCTCCACCTATGAAAAAATTAGAAATTTAAAACCTTCCTCCCCGAAAACAATCAGGCCTGGACGGCTTGGCTTCGAGCAACGGAGGGAAATAGAGTCACGCCGTAGGAATTTTGCCAAGGAAGAAAATGTTTATGTTGGTACGGACCACTGGAAGTTTTGGAATTACAACTTTAAAATGAACAAAACATAAAAAAACAGGGGCTATGAACTTCCTCATCAGCCTGTTTGCATTAATCACTTCTCGAGTCTTGTTTCCTTATTGCTCCTGTTTTGTCTGTTTCAGCTGCTGCAAGTTAAAAAGGAAAAAAAAGAAGCATGTGGAAGAGYTACAGAGTTGCAACGGATCTGCAGGAAGAGCCGATGATTGATTTTGTTTTTAGGAATTGATTTTGAGGAAATATTTTGGAACATTTCAGAGTGTAAAATAAAAAAACAAACACGTTCTTCAAGGTGTCAGGGCTTAAACTGAAGCGTATGAAAAATACTAATCACGATTTATGATCTATACAGCCTGTTTTAATGAAGACACTCTTAAAAAGATGGTACAGAACTTTCAATGTGGGGTACTGTGAAACAAGGATGAATAATTAATATCTTACCTGTTGTAGATAGCTCTTTGAATGACTTTAAAAAAGAAAAATGATCCTAAAAGGACCAGACTGATGAGCTAACGGCTAGTCTGAGAGGAGCCATGACCAAAGTGGACTGCTACTGATTTAAAACAACTCCTCAGTGGTGGGCAAAGCTAACCAAAATGTTAGCTCTGCTAGCTCATAATCTGCTAACTATAAATATAGCTTCACTAACATTAAATTGCTTAACTTGTAAAAAATATAAAATATTAAAATTAATGGAACTTTACACTAAATAAACATCTAACCAAGTAAAAAATTAGCAGAACATACCAACTAACCGGTCATCCAGTCTGCTGACGTTAGCTTGTTAGTTAGCTTTTAACTAATTTAAAGTTGGCCAAACCTAATTTAGTGGAAGCTAACTGGTTGGCTTATTGTCAGTTTTTCATTACACCACTAATTATATTGTATTCTTCTGTTATTTGTTATTGATAAATCAATCGGACACTTCTGGCAGGATTATTGTAACAATTATGTTGATTTTAAAACAGTTAAACAACTCATTTCTGTGTTTTAAGACGATCCACTTTGGTCTCGGCCCAACTCAGAATTATCAGCTCAGTAAAATCTGTTTCTTCAAAATGAGGTTTGTCCAAAGAGCTATCTACCACAGGTAAGATATTAACTGTTAATTACCTTTTCACAGAACCCCGCTTCAAAAGATCTGAACTGCCCCTTTAAGTAAAGCTGCACTGCTGTTTTCTGTCTGTACATTTTGGTTCACAAACACGTTTCCTGTAAAGTTCACCCACCTGAGATTCATCACATGTTTGATGTAATAAATCACTTTTTTTGTTTTTATAGTTCTTTGGTTTTGTTGGTGTCGTATTTTATCTGATCTGAAATCCTGTTTTGATTCTGTGTTTTAGGTTTCACTTAAATGTTGTTTATAGAACTGGATCTTTGTAGGTTTATTTCCAGTAACCCTGGCTTGCAAGATAAAGCTCTACATTTATACAAAATCTCGTTTTTTTGGACCTTGGAAGTAGGAGTAGATTATTATTATTATTATTATTTTTCCTGAAGTTTTCTGTTAAGAAAAAAGAAACTCAGATGTAATAAACTGAATTTTCTATAAAGCCACTGGAACTGAACTTGTGGCTCCGTTTAATTTCTGTCAAAGTTTTATAAAAAAACTAGAAAATGTATTAGTTGTCTTTAACTCATCAAAAATGATGACCAAAATGTTCAAAAAAAATTTTCCCACCAGGATTATAGTAAAGGCCTGCTTTTTTGAAAGAAATTCTAAATTTAAAAATTTCAGATAATAATAAAAATAATAAAAGATAATAATAATGTGTTAAAATTATTGTAAAACTGGCAGTCATTTAATCATTTAATAAAATTTCAGTTTTTATAACCATTAATACAGCAARGCCTCATCAGATGTAATAATTTTCTGAAACACTTTTCTCTTCTGTTTGTTTCCTGTAGTTTATTTTATTTTACTGTGATCAGATTCACCACCAGAGGGCGCCAATAGTCAACTCATGGCAGAGAAGTAAAAGAATAAACCAACACATCTGACTTTTCTGATCATTTTTATATAAAATAAATCCAGTTTTACTCATGACTTTGCAATTATGCTTCATGTCTCTTAAATTAGGGTTCTGTGGAGAGGTTATCAACAATATCTTACCTGTTTTACCTGTTGTATTATATACAGGTTGTAGGGGAAACCAGAACGTGAGGCAAAAAATAAATAAAACTACTATAAACCTTTACATTACTGATCATTTGGGACTATTTGCAATTGCAAACAGCAGCAGAAGCTAATTGTATCACTTCCTGTTCTGTCTGGGGCACTTCCTGTGACAACAATCGATGGTTTTGCCCATGCTCAAACTAGTTGTTAGCTTAGGGGTGTCCARTCCTGGTCCTCTTGAGCTGCTATCCTRGATGTTTTACTTATTTCCCCGCKCCGATACACCTGCTGCAATGATTGAATTACCTCTTCASGTTCGGCTGAAACCTGTTGATTATCCAATTATTCATGACAAGCAGGATAGCGGCTCAGTAGGACCGGGATTGGACACCCTTTCACWTGCTTGTCAGTTAGCAAGCAAAAAAGTTAGCTTGCCTAACCACCAATCCAGTTACTAAAATATTAGCTTGGCAAATGCTAAGCCACTAAACGGGTAATAAAACTAGCTGAAGCTAACTGATAACAGCTAACTCAAGGTCTGTCGTTTAAAAACAAATGTGTCCCCAAAAAAACATCAGAATCTTGACTAACCTTGGCTCATGACAAACATTTCTACGTTCACCAAATGGGTAAAACCACAAGCGAAATATTTTCCTCACCAAAATCGTCCTTTCTGACCAGATTAGAAGGAAGTGAGTGGACATTGACGACTGTCACACATCTTTGTCTCCTTCCRGTTAAATCTACCAGAACTMAATTTAGCGTAAGCTAATTGGTCTGCTAAAAAWGTTAAAGTTAGCATGAACGCTTATCCGCTTATTTTCACTATTAGCACTTACTTAATTAGCAGAACTGTGGCTTCCACTGTTAATAAAACTTTTATTTCTCCAAACAGAAGTTGTTCAAAAAATCATCTACATCAGGTAAGATACTTATTGTTCACAAATGAATCATATGTGAATAAAATAGTGTTTGGTGTAGAAATGCATGCACAACATGTAACATTAGGTAGCAGATATTTGTTCTAATGTGTGTGGAGGTTTTTTCCTGATGTGTAGCTCAGTGTGTGTCTGTGTGTGTGTTTAACACAAGTGCAACTCAACAAGCACGTTTCCCTGAGAGCAAGGCGATGCGTCTCCTGAGGRATAACAGGAGGATCGTCTGAGCTGCGATCACGGATCAGTAACCCGACACTCAAMACGTTTTATCTTTTGCCTCGTCCAGGGCTACAAAACGAAGAGCAAATTGTCGAGCGGATTCTGGTCGACTCGTCTTACTGAAAGAARGGTTCACAACACATTTCTGCATGAGACGGCAACTCAGAAAGTCACACTGGAGGACTTTTACATTCATCTGGTTAGAAACTCCTTGTCAAAATGAGCTTCTTCTCTGGGTTTTCTTTGCTTTTGTTTATTTAAAGCTGTAAACTGTTTTTTAAATATGTTTTTATTGCTGCAGCTTGTTGTCAGTGTCAAAAAGAAAAGCTGGGCACTGATCGAAGAGTTAACATTGCTAAAGCTAAATATAGGAGGATAGGTTAAAACACTGCTTCTATGCAGGAAACACCAGGTAGAGCTCAGTTGTTAGTGGTGGAACGTGACCTTTTGTGTTTTTGATCAAAGTTAAACACAAAACGTTGAAGTTMTTTACAACTGGCTCTTTGAGGACCACCGTAACGCTCATGTGGCCCTCAGTGAAAATGAGTTTGACAGTGCTGGTCTAACAGGTTTATTGCTATAGTTTATTCTTTGTCTCATGGTGGAAGATTTATGTTTTCATCTGTTTTTCACCATTTCAAACAAAAATACTTTGAAATGGTTTTCATAAAAGCCCTGCAGAGTTTATTCACACCAGAACCCTTCCTTATTCGACACATTCACACTGAACATGAAACCACAGGGGCAGCGACACCAGCTGAAGAATGTCATCGAGGCATGTTTCTCTCCATGTGACCGAGAGAAACTGGGTCCAACGGGTTCTGTTACTCTTCAACCAGCAGAGATGCTGTGTGATGGAAATGAGACAGATCCAATGGCTGCAAAAGAAAACAAAAATAGCTATAACTCAGTTAAATCTACAGGTATTGGTCTGAAATTTGGTTTGGTAGTAGCTGAGATTGATTTCCAACACTTATGTAAGAATTTTGTTTAAAACTTTGACTGAAGCCGACTGTTTCTGTTAGCAAAATATCTCACGAGCCATGGGATGGATTTTAACAATACTTTCAGAAACAAATGAGTCAAAACAATTCAAGATGGCCGCCATCGCTAATCAATAATGCAGCTTTAAAAATGGCAACAACTCTGTCAATTTCACAGACATTGAGCAAAAWTTAGATTTTATATGAGAATTATTCCCAACACATGCATAATGTGCAAAGCTCTGGGTAATATGTTTATCTTTAGCTTTGACACCATTATCAATCATGTTTTATGTGGAAATTGTGTCATTTAAAACAATAACACTGACAACAAACAACCAAACTGAAGCACTATTTTTTCATAAACACCTAAGCAAAGTGTAAAAAATATGGCTAGGCGGCTAATTTAAAGCGGAAACATAAAATGAAATAGAAAAATAACAGCTGACAGGTCACCTTTGCCACATAGCAACGCTAACGTGCTCCATTAATGTAATTGGACGATTATTCGGGTCGTGGACTTCTCCCAGCCAATCAGCAACGAGCTTCGAAAGTCAGTTCTACTAAAGCCGTGYTCTGATTGGTCAGAAACTCAGCGCAGCTGTGTGCAAGAAGCTATAAAGATTATTCAGAAGTTTTTTGTTGCCGCAGTGTTTGTGTGACAAACACCGACTGTTTAGAAGAAAAGTGGCTCGAGGATTCGACTTTATACCCTAAAAAACCTCATGTGAACTAAAATATTTATTACCTACATATTGCGTGTTTAAGGTGAGTACTTTATTTTTCTGCGGGTTTGTTTGAGCGAGGTTTACCTGCGTAGATAATTATAGCATTTTAAGCGTCAGCTAGCTGCAGAAACCTTTAGTGGAATACTGCGATGCCTTGATTTGACTCCTTTATTTTTTTTTAAAGGCAGCTTTTGTCAAAATCAGCCCAGAAGAGCCGTGAATCATGGTCGCCACAAACAAAATGAAGACTAAAAGTATAGAAGCTTCGGTTGAAAGGCGATAYGAGCAGGTGTGCATGGAGAAAGGTGAGTGTTTGTTTCCAGTTTGTCTGTCTGTGTGGTGCAGGGCTGCAGCACTGGAGGGGAGGAGGGATGTCCACACAGGGTGACGTCATCCTGCTGCTGCAGACACAGCTGTTTACTCCAGAGGTGGCGAAAATGTTATCATTTTAATGCGTTCACCTTTATTCCCTCACTGTTGGCTGCAGGTTCAGGTTACCTGGACCTCAGTTCTGTGTAAAAGTCTTGTCCTCCTCAGATTTCTGATGCTGTTTTTTGTAGTTAATCTTTACAAATTCAGCTGGATTTGACTCATTTTCCAGTCTAGTCCTGATGATTGAGTTTTCTGGTTAAGATAACTACATTAAAAATGCTTCTAAGGTTGAACCAGTGTTTACTAATTTAACATAATATGGATATTTTTGCACCCAGTCAGTATTTTTCAATGCATAGTGGTCTAAATATGTATAATTTTACCTCTGGTTCTTTGAAATATACTTTACTCTAAACAAGCTTCATATTTACCCCTGTAAGCAATGTTATCTTTTTAAAATATACAAAATCTGCTCCATTTATTCCTTTTTTAACCCATACTGATTGCAAACGCACAACATATMGATGTTTTTGCATATTTTAATGCTTCTAACACAGTTTCTGCATCATTAAATGATTGAGGTTATTTTAACTGAAACTCCAAGGATTTGTAAAAAAAAAAAAAAAAGGCAAATATTCCTTTTTGGTTTCAGCCGATTATATTTAAAAGGTTTAAATCGGGGTGGGCAATCATGGTCCTCGAGGGCCGCAGTCCTACATGTTTTACATTTTTCTCTGCTCCAACACACCTGATTCAGTCACAGAACTACCTCTTCCAGGTTCTGCAG